CTACTAACAATCAATAAAAGAAATGTAATTCGGTGAAACATTTACAGAGACAACAACTTTCATTCACGAAGACAAGTATTAAAGCGTCTCTAAAAATCCTGAGTCTTTAAGCTTAAGCTTAAAGCTTTTCGCCGGCTTCCTGGTGTTTACTATTTTCAAAGATAAACTCGAGGCAAGAAAATCGCTCAAAGCTTTCTTTCTACAGCCAAAATTATAACTAAATACTCTTCGGAACGTTTTTTCGTTCTATATGCGGAGAGAAAATATCGACTAAAGGCTTTTTAAAGTTCTGCAAGCTTATATATACTAGATCAGATCATTGTCTCAGATCTTAATACAAACGTACATAAATTATATTTAGCCTCATAAACTGCGCTCGACTTCATGAAATTAGATATAAAAAAACAAACATACACTGTATACAATAATTACTTAGGCTTACCATTCGAGATGCAGCTCTTGAAAGCTATAAAGTAAGGCCAGAATCGCTTGAGAGACTTTTCAACCCGCATCCAGCAAGGTAAAAACGAAAGCGATGCATCCGAAATCGGATTTCCAACTTTGGCAACAGGCGCATTTCCCGACCAAAAATTCAATAAACAAACCAGCCATGAATCAAAGAAGACTGTTGATAGCAGCTGTATTTCATTTTAAGCATCCAGTGGAAAAAGACAGTAAAAAACATCACAAGTTGACAAAATACTCTGTCAGCTTCAGCTGTCAAACTGAAAGTAAACAAGGTTCAAGATGCTGTATAAATCAGTTCTGCATGAACTCACATGTCAAATTTTGACCAATCAGAGCATAAGAATTGGACGGCCGTAGAGCGTGATCAACGCGTGACTATGGTGAGAAAAGTGAAAAGCCTCTGTCTTCCCTGCTTGTATTTTTAAATGACTGGCTGAATTTTCGAGTCCGAGATCAGTTTGAAATCAAAATGTTAATAGCGCGGGGCCATAGTGACATTAACACAACACTTTCTGTCATCATGTCATTATTTTGCTGCCGTTCTCTTTGCCTTTGTATTTCTCTTTCGCGTTGCCTTTGTCTGTTCATTCTAGCTCTGTCTCGTTCTGTTTGCCGGCTTTTATTCACTATAATTTTCTCTCCTTCTTCTCACTGTGACTCTTCCTACTTGCTTTCTTTTTTTCAAAACCAGTTGCGCGATATAATTGCGCGACGTTGCACAATGCGATTTCCCGCCAAAAAATCTCTACTTTCCCCTACCCCAAGAGTCCATGCGGACTACTTTCCACTACCCGGAAAGTCCGTATGGACGGACGTACGCTACGTCATAACCAAATTTTCTGGGATGAATAGTTTACCAAATTTTCTTACCCATGGTGCTCCGCTGCGCGCGCGCTTCGCGCGCGCGGGAGCTCCGCTATAAATTTTGCCCTTTATTGATAAACAAGTAATCCCATGAGACCTCGTACTAATAAGGATTAATTGCACTTGAGTTTTCAAAATTTTCCAAATTGCCCTCGTCGCTTCGCGACTCGGGCAATTTTGGAAAATTTTGAAAACTCTCGTGCAATTAATCCTTAATAGTACTTGGCCTCATGTGATTACCTATACATATCCTAAAATAAAATAATCAAGCTCTCGGTAAGTGTTATTAGCCTAGGCCTTCGGTTCGGCTGATAACCCTTATCGCGGCCTTGATTATTCCGGACATCACAAAAACCTCATCCAATAATTGATAAAAGTTAAATGCCTAAGTTTTTAATAGTTTAAATTGTAAAAATTTTAAGCAAAGACATAAAAAAAGGGTCACCTTGGCAGCCAAAAAATGATGAATAGAAAATACATAGAATGATAGTAGAAAATCATAGAATGGACTGATTAAAGGGGCTTTTTGTATATATCATTGATTTAAATCAGAAACTCATAAGGGGTTTTGAACCCCTTATGAGTTTCTGTTTAAATTGTATGCTCAAATTTGTAGTTAATTGCTGATATTATATGTTACTCACAGACAGTTGGAATACGTATTGATGAGTCTTAGGTTAGATTTCTGTTGAAAATGAATTTATCGATGTGCCAACATTATTTTTATGTAGAAGATGAAAATTTGAATTAAAAAAAAAGGCTTGTTTATAGTGGAAATTGCACGTAGCTTGTCCAGCTAATTTACAGGCACTCCACTCAAATATTTAGAAACAAATAATTCAAATAAAACATAACAGGATAAAAACCCCAACTGGCAGAAGGCAACCAGTTGGCTATATACAAGCGTGGCCGAGAATTTGAACTCGGGACGACCGAGTACAAATCCAGCAAGTGGCCAGAGCGGGACTCGAACCCGGGACCGCCGCATTACGAGTCCGACGCGCTGACCACTCGGCCACGCTGCCTCCTTTTTAAACGACAAATCAGTCAGGTACGAGTGAGGGAAGGGAAAAGTTTATTACCGTTTACGTGATTTTTTAAATACCTACGCTTTATAGTTATAGACAAAAATGATTAAACTCAATAAAAAAGGCAAAGCCGTGCATGTAGCTTGGGCAAAATCCTTCACTGATTATTAACAATTTTTTTACTGCTATTTGTTGTTTGTAGAAGTCTTAAAAATGAAGTCTCATAGATGAACTCAGATAAACGTATCATTAATGTTGTGGGTAGCATGGGAGGATTAAAAACGACTAAATCATCGTCATCTTGGGAGGTTCTCAAAAAAGTCAAGGAAGAAAAGGAAGACTCTTTCAGCCGGAGCGAACAGTCATCGTTGACAAATCATCGCCAACAGCTCCTTGCTCTGCAAGTGGCATTTATCACTGCAATCGCAAAAAACCCCAATATCAATTACTTTAATGACGTAGAAAAACGGTTTTAAGGATGGATACCAAAGGCATTTGTACATGGTATAACAAGTCTTACACAAGTCTTTAAAGAATACCCTAAGCGATTCACAAGCCGTTCTCACACAAACCGTCAGTAATGACTCTTATACAAGCCTTCGGTAAGTATCTCAAATAAGCCTTCTGTAGCAAGCCTTGTGTAAAGACTCGTACACAAGCCTTCTGTAAGCCTTCTTCGGCGTTTTGTAAGACTCTTACGCAAGCCTTCTGTAAGTATCTTACACAAGCCTTGTGTAAGCTTTCTTACGCGTTCTGTAAGTATCTTACACAAGCCTTTTGAGCCTTCTTACGCGTTCTGTAAGTATCTTACACAAGCCTTGTGAGCCTTCTTACGCGTTCTGTAAGTATCTTACACAAGCCTTGTGAGCCTTCTTACGCGTTCTGTGTCTTACACAAGCCTTGTGTAAGCCTTCTTATGCATTCTGTAAGTATCTTACACAAGCCTTGTGTAAGGACTTACACAAACCTTGTATAAATCTTTACACAAGCCTTGTGCAACGACTCTTACAGAAGGCTTGTGTAAGCAACCTTACACAAGCCTTCTGTAAGGACCCTTTATACAAGCCTTGTATAAAGAGTCTTACACAAGCCTTCTGTAAGCCTTCTTACGCGTTCTGTAAGACTCTTACACAAGGCTTGTGTAAGCACTCTTACGCGTTCTGTAAGCACTCTTACACAACCCTTCTGTAAGTATCTTACGAAAGCCTTCTGTAAGTCATACACAAAAGACAACATACATACTTTTAAGTGTTAAAGAAGGCGTTCGTAAGAAGGACTTTTATTAATGACCTATTTTAATTAAATTGCGTTATTTAGTGACACAGCAACTAAAATAGGGTAATTTTGGTGCAGTGGAATATATAAGGTGTTGTATATTATATTCTGTTACTGTTTTTATATAAGGTTCTGTGCCCAGCTGCTAAGATTGATCTAGAGTAATGCGTACAACCGACAGAGTACCGACAAATTATTATTTACAACCGACAGAGTTGTGCGTACAACTGACAGCGTAAATGTTGCAACCGACAGATTAGTGCCTACAACCGAGAGAGTAGTGCGTACAACCGACAGAGTTTTGTGTACAACCGATAGAGTAAATATTTGCAACTGACCGGTCAGTAGTGCGTACAACCGACACAGTTTTGTGTACAACTGACAGAGCACAATATTTGCAACCGACCGGTCAGTAGTGCGTACAACCGACACAGTTTTGTGTACAACTGACAGAGTAAATTCTACAACCGATAGAGTAGTGCGTACAACCGATAGTGTAAATATGTTAACCGACAGAATGAAGGTTTATAACGGACTATTTGTAGCCCCTACAACTTACAACCGACCAAGTAATGGGTACAACTGACAGAGAAAATGGTTTAAACCACAGTATCTCTATGAATGCCGAAAATCAAGAGGAGACTTATTAAAAAGAAACAGCAAAATGATACCAAATAAAAGAAGGAAAATTTAACGACATGGTACAACTGACGAGAAATTTTTGAAACAAACGGCGCGTCATATTATGCTATGTAACAGTGCTTCTCAGTTTTTGTTATATTGAATGCGAATTATTTGCTGTATTTATAAAGATTTTGTTCGACAACTGAAGGCGTTTCTGCCGTCCTTCTGTCATTTAGGTGCCTGTGAGATGTCCCCAGGGTGGGGGTATTTGATCACCTGAATGGACCCTAGTGTGGGTATTTGAACGGCATTTTGGCCAGGGTAGGGGGGAATTTGAACAATAATTTTCAAAAAAGTCAAATGCCCGGGGGGGAATGATGAAGCTTCGATTTGACCGATACAGTACCAGTATGGCCTTATGACGATAAAACAGGCTTTCGTGATGCTAAAACCGAAAAAAAAATAATAAACCACTAACCAAAGAGCATGCAACAGAACTGACTTTTTAGTTTTTATTTCAATTTTGCGTATTGTTTTTAAAAAAATTAATTTACACGTTCAGCCTAAACAGTAACGCAAGAGTAGAATGATGTAATGCATAGCATTAAAACTCTTTCATGTATGTTCCGACATAAGGATCATGTCCACTGGGTCAAAGTGCTTGACATTCTATATCGATGAGAAATCAACCTTCAAAAATTTATGCCGAATTTATAATACCATGGTGAAATTGTCTGTGTGTCATAACCGCCTTGTTTTTCGTGGTCTGCACCCATTGTGGGGAACAGGAGTAACATCTGTAACAGATACAACTCTTACTCCACCAGATTCAATACCGTTTATTGCACCCTGAAAAAAGAAAAAGAGAAATATACTGTATGAAGAGTTGATTCAAAGCTCTAACGTGACACATAGTAAAGCGAGCACCGTAAGTTACCCTTGTGTGTCAACCTGCTTTTTCAGAAAGTTGTTGCCAATGCTAAGTTTCCCGCATCATTGCAATTTACATTTCTGTCACTAGCTTCCCTTACCTTCGCCACTTCGACCCCTGCAGGTAAAGTGATAATTTGGGAATTCAACGCGTTTTCAAAAGCAGGGCTTTGCGGGAATTTCTTGGTGTGCTTATCTCTGCTCGAAGAGAAGCCTCAGTTGGTTTTACTTTAGTATAGACTTGTAACGCCTGTTTGTTTCATGTTAAGGATGGTATTTAGGATGTCCATCCACGTGTGCTGAAGGAACAAAGCTCTGTGATTGTTCCAGCTTTGTGAGGTATTGTCCACAATCGAGTTACGAGGCGAATGAACATGTTGCACTTGCCAAGGGTTAGAACTTACTTAGCTAAAAACTCTTTTTATTACAATGGTTCTGTAATTTTTAAGAGCCAATGTCAGTAATTTTCGAGAATCGGTTGACAGTCGTGAATTTTTGAATTTCTTCATATTTTGCCCAAAAAATCTCTATAGTACACTTATTTTAAAAATCACATTAAACCTTTCAACGGCTTTTTAGTTTTTCCTGAATCGGGCAAAATTTGAAAAACGCCAAATCGGCGCTCTTTCGAGTATGAAATTAGCGAAAATTGAGCATTTTCTTCGCTCGTACATAAAAACGGAAAAATATCTCTAGATGAAATCAAGTCACAAAACAGACACACATTATTACTTTATAATTCAGCAGTTAATTTTAAATAAACCGTTTAAATGTGACTGTACCGGCCGCAAGAAGAAACACGGTTTCAGCAATTTTCAAAAATGGCAAATTTGACCTAACTTCACCATCGTAAAAACCTAGTTGGTACACGGAATTTCAACATAAAACAAACACTATTTTAAAGCAAATCCTTTGTCGTTTCTTGCATTAAAAAAATTTTGGCGGCATTACAAAAGCGCGTCGCTGAGACATCGAAACGTGCAGGGTAGTTTCGCACGTTGGAACGCTGAAACAAGCTAGCCGCGAGTGTAGGCACACAAAAGTTTTGGCTAACTTAGTTTCTTTAAAAGGGGCACATTACGGGAAGCTCTTAAAATCTTTTGAAAAACGCTTTTCAATTTGATGGTTATAAAAAAGAGCTAAGCAGATTAACACTACATTTGATTGCACGCAAGTAGCTGAAAAAGACAACGCTGTTAAATTCTCATTGAGTGTAAATATTGACCTCGAGTTTCTGCACCTCAAAATAAAGCCGCTAGAAACGGCGTGCTAGCTCTAAATGAGATTCGAGATCTCTAAGAATTACTTACCACAGTCGTTTCAACTGCAAGTGGCCGCAGTTTACCGAAATCTCCCGTCGTTTAGCCTCGGACTAAACACTGTGATGCGTGACGGAAAGCCCGTGTGTAATTTGAGTCTGGTCACGCAACTGTACAGACAAGGATAAATCATCGCACGAGTGTACAAGAAAAAATAAAATGACAATTTAATAACACTGTTTTTTTTAGTTTTATATTTAATATTCCCAAAACATGTGGAACTAAACTTGATTTTAGGATGTACCAGCCGAATTTAACACAAATAGTGAAAGAAAACAAATAGAGTAAGCCGAGTCTGCAAAACTTTTCACACTAGTTTTTTTATTTGCACTTAGGCTTCTGAGCCTTTGCTTGTAATAAACTAATCTTAACCCCGCTTGGCGTATAGACTTCTTTATCGATCACCTCAGTATGAATTGAGGGATTTAGGAACACACGTACGCCATATGCAACATGAAGGTAGAGCAGGGAATGGAAACGAGTAAAACTGTTTAAAGACAATTGGCCAACGCTCCGCAAAAGAACATTCCTGAAAAACCACAAATCGACAATGGACAATGGACAATGGACACATTTGATGAGCGAAAAATCGACAATGGACAATGGACACATTTGATGAGCGAAATACAAGTATTTAACATGTTTAAATTACTGAAAGTAGTATTGCTTTGCTCCTCTGCAGGAATGGCATCTTCTGGCAAGACCTCAACCTGTTGTTGACGAATTGTACACTATCTGATCCCCTTCCCCCCCGAACAGAGACCCTTAAAGGCCAGTCTACACAGTATGGGGTTAGACCAGAATGCACGTACTGCTAGCTCCCGCCTGAAGAAAAGGAATAGTCACCTGGCTCTGTCCGCCATCACCCCCCGGCACTTGTTCGCTGGCTAGAAAATAGACCAATTCACTGACAAGTTCTTTTTCATAACGTCAAAATCCGTCGCGTAAATGAAAAAAATGCTTTAAAATGCCTAAGCCATTTTACTTACTATCTTTTAACCAAATACGTTGCGGAGAAAAGAGAGAAAAGGCTGAAAATAGCCTTTCATTTCGATTTAAAATTTCAGATGGAGAATGCCCTTTTCCTAGGTCTGCACCTGTAGTGACTTGTGTGCTAAAACTCCTTCGTGGTGGTATCTCTCGGGCAAAAACGACCGCCTAGCGGCGAGGAGCGAGCAGAGAAGTCAGTGGCCATTTTCGAAAAGAAAAAGAAGTGTAAAGGCAGCACCTTCGTGACTTAGAAAACGTATGCGTCTATAATTTTCTTCAGGCCGCACAGAGTCATCAATTAATGTGCCTTTACGGACCCCTTTTAAATGAGCAGCCAGCATGGCCAGTAGGCTGTTCTGGAACTGTACAACGTGATTTGTGCTCCGCCACCCGGAACCCAAACATTTTTCATGCGCCAATTTTGTGGATCAAACAAAGTCTGCTAGCTCTAAATGTAGTGATAAAGACATGAATTGTTGTATGTGTAGGGTTGATCCTAATGGAGAACCCAATGCCAACCAACCCACCCATCTCCTCCCCCTGCCCTAAAGTTAAACAAGCTAAGTAGACTTTTCAGGACGTTAGCATAGTCACCGGAGACCTCTTGTAAAGTTCACTAAAATAATAGCAAGTACCTTCGAAGCCTGTTCACAGACCCTCTACTTGTTCATTAGAGATCGTCGATCTATTTTCTCTTTGGAGATCGTCGATTTCGCGTATGAAAATAAAAGCCGCAGGGGATTTATTGACCGTTAGAGCAAGGCGCTCCGCTCTCGCGCGCTCGCTTCGCTCGCGTGCTCGTCTATTTTCAAAACGAAAGAGGAGTGTAAAAGCTGCACCTTCGTCGCTCAGGAAACGTCTGCGTATATCATTTTCTTCAGGTAATAAAGAGTCATCAATCAATGTAGGTTGATCTAGAACGGTACCACGTGACTTGTTGCACCGCTACCCGGAACCAAACATTTAGAGGTGGTGAGCAAAAACTCTTATTTTCATGCGCCAATTTTGTGGATCAAACAAAGATCACCCAACGTAAATGCAGAAAACCGTACTTTTATCATTAGCGTAGTAGGGTCGATGTTTGGTTATTGCCCTACATGTTCACGTGACTGACAAGTCAGGAGCATACCAAGGGACTCACGACATCTCTTCTAAGATCGCAGTACATTCAGCATTACTGGGGCCACAGGCGCCATAAACCAAGTTGAATATGTGCGAGATGCTATACGAACATACAACAAAGACTTGAAAAGTAAAAAACTTATACCAGGAATTTCTTTTCCGGCGCGTTACGCGTCACGCACTTCCGGAATGTCATCTTTCCTCCTGTCGACAGATTGAAAACATGTGCAAACTTAACTTCGATTCTGCCGTGATGCAGAATTTAGTTAGCGGTACTGTGACTCCGTCTAGAATCTAAATTCAGGTAAGTAAATAACTTTTCTGATTTTAAGGTTTCAATGCGATTTAAACTATTGCAAACGAGTATTTCGACAATATTCCTCTCTACTAACTGTGATTTGAACTGCGTATTCGTCTCTTCGTTATCGTTTATCGCAAAAATCAGTTGAAAGGAATCATTTTAAACGGAACAGAAACGCCAAAGTATAATGCGAAACCGTTACAACTCTGACTGGGGTTTAAATGTCGAAGTAACTTACGTTTGCGAAGGATTAATATTCCAAGCGTCCAGAATTGCTTATTGCACGCGCTTTCCTGGTGTCAAAATACCCTTCAGGTTTTGGTCTCTCGACGGTGCGCATTTGGAATGCCGCCAGAAATATTTTAACGCGAACAACAGCAAAGGATATGCTTCAATACAGTTCTTGTTTCATATTGAAATTCCGTGTACCAACTAGGTTTTTACGATGGTGAAGTTAGGTCAAATTTGCCATTTTTGAAAAGTGCTGAAACTGTGTTTCTTCTTGCGGCCGGTACAGTCACATTTAAACGGTTTATTTAAAGTTAACTGCTGAATTATAAAGTAATAATATGTGTCTGTTTTATGACTTGATTTCATGCAGAGATATTTTTCTGTTTTTATGTACGAGCGCGAAGAAAATGCTCAATTTTCGCTAATTTCATACTCGAAAGAGCGCCGATTTAGAGTTTTTCAAACTTTGCCTGATTCCTGAAAAAATAAAAAGCTGTTACAAGTTTTAACGTGATTTTTGAAATTAGTGTATTATAGAGATTATTTGGGCAAAATATGAAGAAACTCAAAAATTCATGACTGTCAACCGATTCTCGAAAATTACAGACATTGGCTCTTAATAGGCTGAATTTTCAATGTTTTAAGATTTTATTCACGTTTACTGTAACTGTATATAGCCCATATTTTAAGATTAACTTTTAGTATAATTTATCAATTTTTAAGAGTATTTTAGTACAACTGTATAGTTTTTATTGAGCTTTATCATAAAAATTTTTATCCGGGCCCCAATTGATAGCAGTGCCTGAGGCATTGAGCAGAAAAACACAAACGTTTTCTGGCACCAATCAGAAGTCAGAACGGCGGCGACCGTTTAGAACTGGTCTGGTAAGACATTGTCCCCAGGGGCTCTTCTCGCCGTTCTTTACTTTTCTTCGTGCCATATTTTTCCACCCGTTTAGACTTTCCCTCGCCCCCACCATCTGCCCCTGGGTCTCCGAGGATGTGCCTAAGGGGTCTCAATGGGCTACCCTGATATGAATAATAAAGGTCTCTCTCTCCCTCTCATCAGGCGAGCTTCTATACAGTTTGGTGTAGTGCCGTCGGATTGGAAGCAGGCTTATGTGAGACCTATCTAGAAGAAGAGATCTATACTAAGCAGTTGCCTGAAAACTAAAAGCCGGCATCCGGCCTTAACGTGCATCTAGAACAAGATCATGGGACAGATTTTACTTTCAAACATTGTCATCATTGTTCGCCACGTTAAGAGTCATCATATTGAAAACGATTTTCAGCATGGTTTTCGACAATTCCACTCTTGTGAGACTCAGCTGATTGGTTTCATAAATGATGAAAGATAGATAGTTTATTCACCTTCGAAAAATTGAGGCAAAGTGCTGAATTACGATTAGGTTTACAATAGTAAAAATTTATAAATACCTGAGGAAGATCATTTTTGAAAATTTTTAAAACTACTTTAAAATTGCAAATTCATAAGCATACGCAAAGTACGTATGTATACAATAACAAACAGATGACTTCTAGTTCTTAACTCATGATTCATACAGAATTTTTGGAGGAAAAAATCAAGGCATTTTCAAGGACTGAAATAATAAATGTTCTCCGTTTCCTCAGAGAGTGGCTAGGGCTAAAAGCGAAGCTCTGGTTAATAATACGTGTAAACAGAAAAAATTAAATCGTGTAATGCTAAACGGGGACGACAATGAAAATGGCTTCAAGACTAATAGATCTAATAAGCAAAAAAAAACAAATTGCACGTGCAGCACACTTTTTTGTCTTTCCCTTGCCGTTGTTTTGCACGACTACAACGCTGTTTTGTACGACTAAAACGTCAAACTTCCTAGTTACAAATTATTTCTATGGAGGAAGTGTCATATGTGCTTACCCAATATTTTGTTTCCAGTGTTCATGTTCGCTTTTATTTTTCACCGCCGCTCATTTTCACCTTGGTGGCCGCTAGCATTTCTCACTTTCTCACCGCCGCTTTGAATTTCCATGTTTTTCTTCCTGCGAAATTCGTCTCCTTTGTTTTCAGTAACTCGCTCTAGCTCTTTTTCTGTTATCCACGTTAGTGTAAACATAAAAAATAACTCCGAAAATGACACGACTTTGTTGTTGTTTTTTCTTTCTAAAAGTCCGGGCGGCCATGTTATTTCCTTCGAAATAAAACCTTGAGTTGTATTTGGGTTGCCATACCTGTTGATTGAGTTATTTTACATTGGTGTGCCTGTAGTGCGGACGGACGGTCGGGGGTCGGTCGGGGGTCGGTCGGTCGGTGTACGGTCACGTGATTACCAAATTTTCTCGGATGGGTAGATTACCACATTTCCTTAGCTATGGGGCTCCGTCCACGCGCGGCGCTTGGCGCGGCACTCCGCTAGGAAGTGGTATGTGGTGACTGTGAAATTGATCTGCACATATTTCGTCGAACACCTTCGCCGCAATCGTCTCTCTCCTATCATAAGTTAGTGTGCAATCCTAGTAAAACAGCGGTCATTCAGTTTAGTTGTCGGTTCGACAAGTACCCAATTCTCCGTGATGTTTTGACTGGGAACGCTAGAGTATAACAATCAACGCGAGTTTGAAATCTTGGTGTTAACCTAGATAGAGAGCTTAGTCTTAGTCATCATATTAACGAAACATGCAAAAAAAGGCTGTGCTTGCGATTCGATTTATTGGCGGATTGAGGAAGTATCTGAGCAAGGATCACTTTAAGATGATGGTCAATACTTTTGTTACGTCGCGCTTGGATCATTGTAACAGTTTATACTGTAGTTTATCCAAGCGAGAAATAGACAAGCTTTAACGTGTTCACAACTGTGCCTCACGCGTGGTTTCAGGTATAAGGAGATCTGACGATATAACTCCTGTCATGAAAGACTTGCACTGGCCTCCTATTGGTGCACTCATCGATTTTCAAATACTGCTTTTAATATTTGGAAATTTAAATGATTTAGCTCCTTACCATTTGTCTTCACTCCTTCTCAAATACCAGCCGGCTCGTTTACTCCGCTCGTTTAATAGATTGTTTTTACAAGTTCCTTCCGTTAATACTGTGACTTATGGACACCGCTCATTTTCATATTATGGACCAAAAATCTTGAAAAGTCTACCTGATCATATAAAATACTCTGAATCTTTCCACTTTTAAGCAAAGTTTGTAAACTTTTCCTTTTAGAAATAATTACTGTAGATGGTTCATTTAGACTTAATTTACTGTTGTAAGCGCATTGAGAATTCTTTAAATGCGCCACAAAAACCTATTATTATTATAATAGTAGTAGCAGCAGCAGCAGAAGCAGTAGTAGTAGTAGTAGTAGCAGTAGTAGTAGTGGTTGTAGTAATAGTAGTAGTAGTAGTAGCAGTAGAACTAGCACTAGCAGTAGTAATGTCAGTAGTAGCAGTAGCAGTAGCACTAGCACTAGCACCAGCAGAAGCAGTAGCAGTAGCAGTACCACTAGCAGTAGCACTAGCAACAGCACTAGCAGTACCACTAGCGAGGCCCTGTTAGGGGTAAATTTCGACAAGCGACAAGGCCTTGAACCGGCGACATGAGAGCCTCGAACTGGCGACGACCGACAGACTATTGCAACGAATTAGCGAAAGCGACACCAATGTCAAGACTGTCCGACAGCGAATTTGAGAATTGACAGAATTGTGAATGTCCTGCAGAACATTTGCGCGTACACTATTCGGTAGCAACTACTGAATAATGATCAATAATGGCCAATAATGGCTAATAAGGGTCCAATAAAGGCAAACAGAAATACGTCTCATTTTACTGCTGTTTTGATTGTTCATTTCATTTGATTGACGTGTTCAGTGCATCACTCTTGAGGACTTTGCCGCTTTGCGTGTCATGTTCTCCTCCTTGCATGACCCACGTGCGCGCTCCATCAATCTGTTAGAGAGATTTTTTTCTTTATCAATCCCGTTCATCTCGGTGTTCCAAATGGTAAGCGAGTTATTGAAATACATCACTATCAGAGTCATTAGCGGGTCGTCGGAGTGCCGTTGACGGTATCAACGGCATGGGAAAACACAAAAAACACAAAAAGGGAAAGAAAAAGCGAGAAAACCAAGACAAGTTAGAAAGAAGAGAGCGACCAGCTTTCTCAAACTGGTCGCCACTTTCACACTTGTTGTGGAGAACTTTTTCAGTCAAATGCGATCCAGAAATGACACGCCAACTGCCTTGGAGTTTGCACATCTATTTGCGCCCACCATTCGCGAGTCATTGAAACAACTCACTGGCATTGGCTTTGTCTACTACACTTCCCCACACTCTTATTATGAAGTACCAGATGAGATGAAACTCCCGTTTCGAGACCTGCCTTCTTTGTCTGTTCCACCGTAAGTAGAAATGGCAAAAGATGACCAGAGGTTGATGAGAGACTGGAGGGACAGCTTTGGTAAACCGGTCCGTCAGCTGACCGTTCGAAATCAAAATACCAAGGACAATGTAGGTACACTTTCATTGTTCGCATACACAACACCAGATCAGCTTCCAAGACCATTAGATTTTTCCACCAGAGACGACCTCACAGCTAGAGAAACAGTGGTCACAGAGATTGAGCAGGAAGCTGTCAGAGGAGCCATTTTATTTGAGGCCAACAGTGACAACAGTGTTGTGGTCGACAAGCGCGACCACATACGTGGATACCCGGACAGGGGACCCTTGTTTGTTGGAATTGTCGTAGCTGATGTCACCGACAAGGAAGAGAATTCTTTTTGTGATATTGAGTTTTTTGTTTCTTGTCTGCTGTTTACTTTGAATGAAAGCGTACGAATCCACCGAGATGCTATCGTCAGTAAAGTGGGGGAAGAGCATTTTGCAAAAGGGTGCGGTTTTGTGAAATTGACGGAGGTATCATACGAGACATTTCTTCGATACCAAAATGACGTGGAAGACCTTTTGCCAGATAAAGAAGGCGGTGAAGAGGACAGCGAGCTCGACTCTGATGATGGTGAAAACCCAGAAGACGTCGTCTTTGGAGGAATGCCACTTCGCACAACATCCGGGAGAACTGCCATCCGCCCCAAATCGTCTGGACCTTTAGTTCATTTTTCACAGACTTCTTGTAAACGCACGCCTTACAGATAATGAATGGGAATGGTTGATAATGTCCTTCCTCGTGGGTTGTTATAGTTACGGAAAAACACAGTCTGACAACTAAATCAGAGTTTAACTGAGAAGAAACATTAGACTCTAGCACTACCAGAATTTTAGAAACGTTATGATAGCTCGAGCGTTTTGTCAGATTAGGCCTCGATTCACTCCAAGCCATTTTAAAAATATCTCTACACTTGTATAGTTTACTAAATGCAATTTTATTGACTTCAATTACTATTCCAAGCAGTCTGAATGAATATCAAACATTTATAAAGGTCTTAAAACCCTGGGCTTAAAAGTACTAAAGATAGAGGCCGTATGTTCCGTTGGCGCCGTTGCAGCAAATGCAGATTGTCAGATTGGTAACGAGCTAAAAAATTATTATTGAAATTCCGAGAGGCGACACGAGAATGTTCCGAAATTGCGACATAGCTGGCTGTGAAATTCAGACGGGGGACATGGGCCTCACTAGCACTAGCAGTATCACTAGCACTAGCAGTACCACGGGTACTAGCACTAGCACTAACAGTAGCACTACCAGTAGCAGCAGCACTAGAAGTAGCAGTAGTTGTAGCAGTAGCAGTAGCATTAGCAGTAGCACTGGCAATAGCACTAGGTTCAAGGTTCATTTATTTCACACTATTTTCAGAGAATAAAATAGAATGAACAAGACGCTACGGAGCGTACACTTCGGCGTCGTGGTTGTGGAACTGATTAATTGTAAATGCGGAGAAATAGTAAGAAATGAAATATGGTAAGAGTAAGGTCTTAATTTGTGCAATTATGGAATTTGTCAGGATATTCTGAAAAGAGCAACATCCAAGAGGCCTACTTGCCAAAAACTAGCATTTCGGGACAAATTGTCTCTCGAGATATTAGCCCAGTTATGTTCTGATGACTCCATACAAATCCTTCTAAATTTGCCTCTAGTCTAAACGTTTAGACCTAAGTCAAGTATGAGGTTACTGGCGGTGAATAACAAGTCTAACAAAACAAACAGTGAAAAAAAGAATTCTCTACTTTTCTTAGTCACATCACGCTTCAAAAACAGCATAGCAGTCTCCATGTACTGAGATATGAAAGGCATGGGTAAGCAGTCAATTACGTTGAGCATGGAATTGGCTAAAACTCAATGTTACGAGTTCGAATGTTTTGAGGATAATTATTCACTGACTATCAGCACGCAGGGACGTCGGATTAACACAAGGAAGTTTGATACCAGACGAACATAGCCTTTGCAGAGCTTTAAACACAGCATCCGCCGACACAAAAATTTGAACTTAAGTAAAACTAAACAGCCTCTGCCAATAATAACAAACTCTGACTTGAACTTCAGATATCTTACGGCTTCCGCCAACTTGTAAACACAGAACTTGAAAACCGACCTTCGTCACACACATTTCAGTAACTGATGCAAATCTGCTGACTCACGCTGAAATGTAAACATGCCCTAATTAATTATTCATGAATAATCCAAAAACGTAGAGAACGTTCGAGAAAGTCACGCAACGCATGACAGCAATTTTACTACGTAACACTTAACAAAGACAAAATGTCTTTGTGCAGCATCTTGTAACTTTAAATTCATCGTAAAACAGTTCGAAAGGAGGGCTCACTCGTGAAATGTTTTCCAACACTCGAACAGAAATTTCGTGTCTCTACGCGGCCACGTAATATCCTCTAAACTGGAAGTGACCTCAAGATATCACGAAGTAGTCCGGTCTCATTTCGTGAAACAGCCGAAACAAGCCGACAAGTCACGAACTTGCACGCCCAATCTTGTCCCGAAACTAGTGCATCATTTCATAACTATTTTTCATATCCCGAACTACCTTGGGTCGCAGTAGCGCAATCGGCTAATCCCTCAACTTAGAGTCTCCTATGATCTGACGGGTCACACAGGTGAGTCGGTTCAAACCCCGGAAAGCTAAAATAACAAGACGCTGTGGGAGCGTATATTTGGGCGTGGTCGTACTATTCGTATGATACTTTGAACATGCCTTATTGCAGCTAAAGAACTGTCATCACATCTTACCAGAGAAGACAAATCCTTTACTCCACTTGTTTGCTGAACCACACAGCTTATACAGTATGTCCCAATCCACAACAAAAATAGTGTCATTTCATGACAATGTTTGAAAATATGCACATCTTCAATGCAGACATGCGTGGAGCCAAATTACAACATAGGACATAAGTGGTTACAGCCCGGAGAGTAAGGTTTATCCCAGCTCCTCTGATACTCACAGACGTGTTTTCACACCCACCACATTGTACAGTGTATTCCGGTTACTAACAAGGGCAAATAAAGTTCCTTAAGTCCAGTATCCACAAGGATTAATAAGAGAGTACACATTGCATAAACTGCTATAGGGCAGCACTGTTTACAGGAACATTGGTAACTATTAACATTTGATATACTACAATGTTCAACATTGCTTGAGAAAAGATGAGGTTCAAAGGTGGCAATATGTACACCTTTAAGTTCATATATATCCTCATTCCTATGTAGGGTCTGAAAATATTGTACTAATTTATGCATGGATGGTATTTCCAACAATACACATGTCCCTTCACTATGACTGTTATGATACATATCTCTAGCATGAGAATCAAATACATTATATCCCCCAGCCTCAATGCCGTAGATACCAACACCAATAATTGCCCCCGTTAAAATGAATGAGTTGTAGTTCAGTGCCAAGAGTGTTTCAAATGCAGTACCCTGTGAGTGGCATATACAGTAGTGATGGATGTTACAAGTATAACTGTCACTGTATTCAAGGTGGAAAAATTGCTCAAACACTGTAACCATTCCTGGCAATTCTGTTAACATTGACATAGATTGTTTTGCAAGCAGTGACAGACTAGAATATAATTGAATACCAACAATCATTATTTGAGTCATCATCAACTGAAGTAATCTTTGTTATCTTACTGTAAATTAAACCGCACAGACTCATTGCGACACATTGTTGTCCAGCATTTTCACTAAATACTGTAACATGGAGCATTAGCATCTACATAAACTGAAGGTTCTGAATTCTTCTCGATATCAGTACAAAGCTTAAATTGGCCAAAATTAACCCGGTTATTCAAACTGTTGTAAGCACCATAAAATGGATAATTGCATGTACAGAGGGGCAAATTCTTACTTAAAAGCCTATTTGGATATCTCATTCCACCTAAATCACCTGTGCTTTGATGCTTAGACGACAGATACACCTTCCCTCGTTTATGAACTAGTTTTGGAGTCGCCCCTTACACAAAAACCTCATACTGTTACAGTTACCTCTGCGCCTGTTTAAGTGTAAACCTTTTCTCTTTTTAAAGACAAAAAACAATGAATTTCAGACGACAATGGTGTATTTTTCCGAATACTCTACCGTACAAAAAGAGTGACTTTCTGTGTTTTCTGTATCAAAGATTTTAATTTGTTCATCGGTAGTCTGCTAGGTGCATGACGCGAGGGTAACCGGCCATTTCCTTCCATGGTCAGATCGTTCCATAAAATAGTCAGTTCGTTCCACATATGAAAAGTCAAGTAAATCTTTCTAAATTTGTTGAGTGAACTTTATCGAGAAGAAAAACGTTTCGTTCGTACCACAAGCTGATAAAATAATAATCGATGCGAAGTCGATTCGATCCATCCTAAGGGTGTGTTCCTTTCGGTGAATCCAAAAACGGATTTTAGATCTAAGAACGGATTTTGCGTGCCTTTCGGCAAATCCAAATCTGGATTTTGGATCTGGTGCATCCTTTTTGAAAAAGGAATCATTGGATTTGAAATCCGAAGAATCCAAATCCAGATTAGAGGATTAGTGATCTACGCTGTTCCATTCACAGTGAATCCGAAATTAGTCAGATGATCCAGCGGTATTTCCAGTTGAAGTATTCCCATAGAGGCCGTAGAGTTTCCTCGTTGCTGTCATTTGCCGCAAAACATCTGAAAACACTAGAAGATTGTTCTTGGTACATTAAAATATCCATATACTAACCATTTGTCTCTAAAGATTGCTTGAAATCAGAAATAAGTAAAAGTAACAAATGAACTGCTATCTAACTACAAACTCGCTTATAGACGCGACAGGCACTCGATCGTATTACATGAAAAAATCCGAGCTACGGAACTGGATCAAACTGGCCGACATTCTTTAGATAATTTTCAATTTTATTGCGCTTCTTTCTTTGTCTGTTTTATATGTTCCATCGTCGCTATTCGAACTGCCGACCACTAAATTCTGCACGGTATAATCGCATAATTTGTCAAACAGTAGAAAACACGTCATTTCTTGAAAGGCTGTCGTGCTTATTGCACGCGTTGGCGAAAGGTTACCAAGGTTACAAATCCAATTTCGCATTTCACGTTCCTTTCGACCGCGAAATCTGGCAATTCTAGGATAAAAAATCCGTTCTTGGATTCGTCGAAAGGAACACACCCTTAAATCGTTTGAAAACAAAGAAGAGACGATTTCAACCAGCCACGGGCTTTAACATTTAAACCACCGCTTTGAGAGTTTTTGAGCTAGAATCGATCGATGGTTTTGAAAGATATAGCACAAGTAAAAGCTATGCCGTTTTGAAGGTACAGTATTTCGAAGTGCTTGTAACCTAAATATTTCTTTGCAGCGCCCGATTTATGCAAATTTTGAAAACAACGCGAGTTTCGAATTACAATCTCGATTTTAAGGTAATTTGTCTTGCCGAAAATATAATTGACTAACCTTATTTAAACCAATGTAATTGTAAGTTCTGTCATAAATAAATTTCCCGCGACGAGATGTCAATTCAACCTCTTTTATTTCCTGACAACACAATTTTCCTTCTGTACAACTAGCTCATTACCTTCTCTTGTCGTCACCTCGCCGCCATCAAAACACTCTAACACAAAACTTGCTGATAATGCAAAATTGCGACACACGGCATCGTACATGTACGGCGTCACAATATACACAATTAGATGAAAAAACACAACACGCAATACAAAAACAAGTACATTAACCGTCAGCCTTCTAAACAAAATTGAAATAATATAAAGAATTGTTGCAGTTATCACAGTAGTTCCAAAAGAAGCCTCAGTCCCTTTTGGTTTTAGTTGTTGACAATCGTCTCTTCCTTCATCGGAACAGATTTTTATCACAGGCAACTCGTTATGTTCCGCAATGCAAAAGTCAAAATCACTATTGCCACACTGATAACCAGCTACACAAATCTTGCGACTCTCAAACTTGTTAAACATTCCTCTGATCAAACTCTTATCCATTTTACACGTACACTCCTGATATTCCGATTTGCTATTACGTATATGGGGTCCATGAGTCTTTGATGTCATTGAATGTCTCGATAATTTCCTTTGTTTTTCTTTGAGTTCGCGGACCAGCCCATTCCGAAAACACTCAGTGTTAGGGACACAACAGACTCCGTTTCTGATTGTGCTTGTATGGAAAAACATATCACACGATCTAATAAAGAAGGATCTATTTGACCCATAAAATTTGATTTGGCATAATAAGCGCCCTTGGCGTTTATTTTATTTTAGAGGTCAAAGAGGGGGCTTTTTTGAAATAGATATGAGGCGTTTAAAAGAGAGAGGTGTTTATTCTCGTAACGTACTTTAACGAACTCAACAAAAATGTATTAGGTATGCTTATAATTCGGCCAAAAACGTTTTTTACGTTAACAGAATCTCGACTGCTCAAAAACTCTCAAAATGATGAAATAACCGATTTTTTTACGACTTGCGAATTTTGGAAATCTTGTCCAATCCACATAGAATGTACATTGTGTATGTATGATGGATCACACGAAGACGTACACACATCTTGCAAGGTGTCATTAGTTGAAACTATGGAATTTGCAACACCTGTAGAATCTGCTCACAACAGGAGAACTAATAGACCAGAGAGAGAGAGAGAAAGAGAAAATACGCATGTGTTCAAGGAGGGATGAGGGCAAAATTTCAAATTTGCAAAAAATCAGAACACTTGGGGGAAAACGCACATTTTACAATTTTGAAATTGCGACAAATTATGAAATTTATAAAATACGAGTTAACGTGTCTACTTTTCTCTACACTTTATAGGGTGATTTTGCTCTCATTACATTTCAAGACTAGACGGTGTTCAGTAGCAAAAAATGCCAGGCTGACCAAATAGACGGAATAGACAACGTGAAAAGAGCCTTACCTGCCTTCCTGTTCCTATGCCACGGACTTTGATCCGCGCAGTTTCTATTCCATGCGAAATTGCCTTCTAAAGTAAACCAAAAGATAAACACTGTTGTTCAATATGTCTGACAATAGGGAGCTTAAGCAAAGACGTTTTTGAGCGACGCACGTCAACCGGAAGTGAGGCCTTCTCCCTTTTTATCTGCCTTGACGCTAACAAATTTGTATTACTAAGTTTCTTTTCTCTTATAAAGACGATTTACCAGAGAGTTTCAACCAAACCACTGCCTAATGACGCAAAAAGTCCACTTCCGGTTGACGTCCGTCGCTCAAAAACACCGTTGCTTAAGTTCCCTAATAAACTGCGAACTATTCAAAGAAAATTATGTTGACCTTCCTAACCGAGTTAAAAAGCCATTCCAAGAAAAAATTACATTTAATGTCAGTTGGATTGTTTTGTAAACAAAGCGATACAAAACCATTACAGTGGGTATCAGTGATCAGTTTGATTATCAATAACATTTTAAAACTGATGTTTAAATAATAAAAGGTCATAAGATCATGTAAGAACAATAACACAATAATGAACTTTTCTACAAATTATTAAAATACTGAAAAGTGCATTATAACAATAAATCTTGTAAATCCCTTCTGCATTCCCCTCACAAATTTAAGTTGAATCTTAAAACTTACATAAGCAGCTGTTATACCAGCTTGCCTGCCTGCTGTGCTACTCCCACGACGTGCATTTTGAAAACCCTCAGTTCCCTAAGTATAAGGAAGAGACAGTGCAGTCCTAAAAGACCTTGCATTATGAACAAAAAAACTGACAGCTGTAATGGTGTATAACAATAAAACTGTTTGAAATGCAAATCAAGACAGTGTTAACCAACAGTCACTTACTGCAGATACCCATCCCAGTGTCTTTCCTACAAAAACAAAAACAGCAATGTATTCAACGAAATTATTCATAAATAATTAAATTAAATAATATTAAACAAGATGTATTAAATGAAATTTAAATGTAATTTACACAAAATACAAGGAAGTCAATTTGAATGAGTGTTATTGAGTCTGACCATGATCATGCTTGTTTAAAAATTAAGGGTTGCTGGGAGCACATACCATGAATAAATTTTTAAAATGTTTATACATCAACTTAAAGCTTAAATTCTACAGAGACTTCAAGGAACAATGGACCATAGTTACTGGTTTCATGCCCCTGTTGTTAACTGGCCAAGAACTGACATAGCTACTAACTCTACCATCTCTACGATCATTGCGATCGATGAAAAAAAGTTTAAGGACCGCAGTGATCATAATTATGGAAACCACTCTCCTGTAATTGCAGCTATCATAGCAACATAATAATAACAGATCCACACCACCCGAGGCGATTGAAGCTCGAGGGATAACAAGTGTACAAGGAACAATGCTGTGTCATTTGAACATCAACAGCATACAAAACAAATTTGAAGAACTGACTGAGACGATTAAATCCCTGAAAGCGCAGATTGTACCTATAAGTGAAACAAAAATCGACTCCACTTACCCAAAGGATCAATTTAACCTGCCTGGTTATTCGTTATATCGAAATGACAGGAAAAAAGGCGGTGGTGGTACTTTGGCACTCATCTCCACCGTAGTCCCATGTAGGAGATTAAAACCTGATCGTCACTACCATTGTCTAGAGCCAATTGTGCTGGATGTGAAAATTGGGAAGATAAACATGATAATAATTGGTCTTTACCGACCACCAAGGCCATTAGTGGGAGCATACCAGCAATCGCTAGAGGAAGAACTGAACCACATTTGTACTTGGGCGTAGCTTCAAAGAGAAGCAGTGACTGTCATTGGTGACCTTAACCTAGATAGGCTAAGGCCTCAGAGAAAGGAGGGCAAATTACTCCTGGACCTCGAAATGGTGCAGGCTTTGAATGTCTTATAAAGCAGCCAACTAGATTGGATAGAAACGGAACAACAACAACAGCCACGCTTATCGATGTACTGCTGACCAACCAACCAGACCTGTTCATTGGAGGAGGAGTTTACGACCCTGCTCTAAGTGATCATATGCTCATCTATGGTATAATGAAAGAAAAAGCGAGGAAACATTCACGTAGAATCATCCATTTCAGGAGTTACAAAAATTTTGATCCGGTGAAATATGACAACCTACTAATGACGGCACCTTGGCATGTCGGAAACTTGTTTGATGATGTTGAGGACAAGGTGTATTATTGGAATACAATCATGCAAGACATTATGGACGAATGCTTCCCTCAGAAAAAGAAGCGAGTTAGGGATAAAGACATACCCTATATGACGACCGCATGGAAAAATGCCATCCGAGCAAAGAGAAGAGCTTTTAAGAAGTATCTAAATGAAAGGACACAACAAAACTGGGAAGAGAAAGAGAAATGTCGAAATGAGGCAACCAGACAAAGAAGAATTGCTGTACGGCAATACTGGACGAAAAAGACGTCTGACCTTAAAGAAAACACAAGAAAGTTCTTTGAAACTTTTAAACCGTTTCTTGGATCTAAGAAAGGGGTCTTGGGGACTGATATTAACTTAAAAGTTGACGGCAAGATCATTAGCAACCAAGAGACTGTTGCGGAAATATTAGCAGGTCACTTTGCTACGATAGCAAGCGATATTGGAGATGTCAACTTAAGAAACTCCTCGGAGAATGACTTAAATAATCATCCAAGTGTCTTGCAAATAGAAATGGCGAGTAGTTCAGAACCAATGATCGAGTCCAATCCAGTCAACCAAGCACAAGTTAGAAGGGCTCTGGAGTCACTTGATACGAGGAAAGCATCAGGATATGACAATATGCCAGCCAGAGTACTGAAATATGGAGCGGAAAAACTTGCTATACCACTGGCGAATCTGTACAATTCATGTATTACAAACCGACAATGGCCAAACAACTGGAAAAGGGGGGAATGGAGGCCCGTCTTTAAGAAAGAGGATCCACAAGATTGTCGGAACTATCGACCAATAACTGTCCTTCCAGTGGTTAGTAAGGTGTTCGAGCAGCTACTTAGCGACCAGATTTCTAAGCAATTCGACAGCCGTCTGGATCCCCGAATTACGGCATATCGTAAACGCCATAGTTGTGAAACAACATTGATAAGTCTTATTGAAGCGTGGAAATCAGCACGTGATAACCAGCAAATTGTTAAAATGTTATCTACCGACTTGAGTAAGGCTTTTGATTCGCTTCATCCGTCCTTAATGATCAGCAAATTAAAAGCGTATGGTTTTAATGACGAACTATGTGATCCACTTCGATCTTACCTGTGTAATCGACTGAACCGAGTGAAACTGGGAGCTTTCAGAAGTGAATAGAAGCGTACAGATAGGGGTTGTCCACAAGGATCGGCCCTTGGCCCATTGTTATGGAACATCTTTCAAAACGATCTGACATACGTAATAACTTCGCATCTCTCTATATACGCGGATGACCATCAAATGTATGAAACAGCGGGGAACCTGAAAATGGCTGACACCAATCTTATGAGGAATGCCAATAGGGCCTCCGAATGGTACGCTAGCAATCTGCTACAAGGAGACCTGAGCAAATATCAAACTATGACTTTAAAGCATAACAAGACAGAAAGTAACACTCCATTACACTTTCAAGGAAACACCATCGAATCTTCTGACTGTCTTAAATTGCTAGGGGTCACCATAGATGAACAGTTGAATTTTAACACTCACATTAACGAAATACAGTTGACTCTCGATAATTCGAACCCTCACTAACTCGAACCTCGCGCTAACTCGAACCAAAATCGATTTCCCCTGGATTTCCGTCATACATTTACTGTAATTTTACCCTCGGTAACTCGAACCCTCGATAACTCGAAACTCCCGGTAACTCGAAGTAATTTTTGTTTCCCCTCAGATCATTTCTACATAATTTTACCCTCAATAACTCGAACCATGTTTTGAGCCCTTAAAACGTCGGGAAAAAACAGTGTACTGCCTCCGAAGCATTGAATTTTGAATTTCCCATTGACGTGTTGTAGGCATCTAGTTTACTAGTGGATCGATAGTGGAGGCTGATGTTGTGTGTCACAAATCTAACGTGAAATAGCTTTACTTCTCAAAAAGTAAAATGCATGCTCTATTTAGGCAACGTTTTGTTACTTTACGTTCTCATTTATAATCTAAAAGTATCTTTCAATTTTCACTCAACATTTCTACAATTAAATGTGATTAAAATGCTCACTGTGCAGTAAGAACTGTTTTTTTCCTTACTCCCGGCTATTTTCTTCGAGCTCCCGATAACTCGAACTCTCGATAACTCGAACCTTTTTCGATTTCCCTTGAAGGTTCGAGTTATCGGGAGTCAACTGTATGTAAGAAGGCGAGTCAAAGGGTAGGTGTAATGTTAAGGCTTAAAAAACCTGTCCCTACCAATGCTAAATTAACTCTGTATAAATCAGCCATATTGCCTTACTTAACCTATTGCCACCTGACTTGGCATTTCTGTAGTGCTACCGACAAAAGAAAGCTTGAACGGATCCAAGAAAGAGCACTTCGCGCAGTTTTCCTAGATAAGCAATCAAGCTACCAAGCATTGCTGGACAAAAGTGACCTAACGACTCTTCAGAACTGAAGACTGCAAGATATTGCTATCCTTATGTATAAGGTGAAACACAAACTATGCCCCATCAAAATATCCGAGCTATTTCACGCGCATTGCTCACCCTACAACTTGAGGACGGCAGAGTTCGCCATTCCCAGATTTAGGACCAATAAATATGGTAAACACTCGCTCACCTACCTGGGACCAAAGTTGTGGAATAAGCTACCAAGCGAAATCAGAACTCTCCCATCATTATTTAGTTTCAAAAATTGTATTCGTAAATTTGATCTAGGTGTAATGATAGACGACGACAATTGCTCCAATTGCATCCTTTGTAATTCTTAATCTTTTTAAATCAATTATTTCATTAGTTGATAGTTAGTAGGTTTTTAACTATATTATATCGTTAGGTAACTATATTATATCGTTAGGTGTCCCCAATTAGTAGAGGGGTTCTTAACCCCATCGGCTAGACATTCCAAGACACATTAATAAAGTTTTATGTATGTTATGTATATGTATGTATGCTCACTCATTTCAAGATGGCTGCCACCACTGATGCTGAGAAAGTGTGCAATTTATCTCTATATGCATGACTATACCACATTTCCAAAGGAATATTAAAACAACAACAGGAAAATCAACAGCTGGAAAGTAATTGGTCGAGGAGGAAGATTTAACTCAAGTGCCCTGTGAGTAGAAGAAAAAGAAATCTGTGGTTCAGGAAAAGAGGTGATGCACCCTAAATTTGAAGAATGGAGAAAACGATGGTCATTTGTGAGACACAGGTCCCATTGACCTTCAGCAACGATCATATGAAACTTATCCATTGCCACAATTGCCTAAAACTATATTTTTAGCGATTTCATTAATCATAGTGATAACAGCATCATATGGAAACCAGCCAGTGATGCTTTAAACCTCATCAACAGTGCAAAGTTAAGAAATGTGTTATTTTTGCATGCAAGTAAACGTTGTAGCTACAAAAGAAGACAGCACTCCATATAAGAAGTTTTCATTGCCCAAGGTGTCAGTGACAGAAGCAGAGATTCCCAAGTGTAAACCTTTCATTGACCAAATTACCATCCCTAAATATAGTTTTGGTATCATTAACAAGAATGTGTTGTAAATGCCCCAATATAAATTGCAACATGCAAATTGATCTCCAATACCAAACCCAGCCACTAAGCCCCACTCCTCTATAATTAATCCCCAATATGAAAGCCCCTCAAGAGTCCTTTGAAATATATAATCCCTGGGACAAAGATGTATTTTGAACTCACAACTTTACAGTTAACACACAAACGTTTCACATTCTTTTAGCTTTGTGACCTTTTTGATCCGACAATGTGATGACTGTGTTGTTAAATGAAGCATTGATATGAATGACAGGGAGATCCCTATATTTTGCTCCCTGAGCACTTGATTTCCTGAGGTGTTTCTTTACATCTAAGTGTGAGCCTGCAAACCTAAAATGTAAAGAAAATAAGGTGTTAATGCATGGACAACACTCTTACTAATATTACTGGTTTGCCCTATCAACAACTTCAGTTTATATGTTTCATTGCAGATAGGTTCCTCTTTTATATAACTGCTGAGATAACATTTAATTTGGGAAAGGGCTTCTATGCAAAAACAAACTGTTATGCCTAATAAACATGCATGCAGTTCAACCTCTCCACAATGACCACCGTGGGGACAGAAGAAGTGACTGTTGGGGGGAGGTGGTCATTTTGGGGAGGTAGGGTATTATGCCACTTGTGTTTTGTGGGGGGGGGGGGGGGTGGGAAGGGGAGAATAGAACATGATAATTGTGCAAAGTTCATGCTTACTGTAGCCTACAATGGTAATCCAATATAAATTACAAATATTATAGATATACTGTAAACTGCCGATTGTAAGCCCATCCGCTTATAAGCCCCCCCAGTTATAGGCCCACCTACATGCAAACAAAAAAATACATCCGATTATAAGCCCATCCGGATATAAGCCCCAGTTACAGTTTTGATTTTGTTTTGAAATTTAACTGAATTTGATCTAAGGCTTCAATTGTAAGAGAAATAAATTTAAATCATACGTCGATCAACAGTGCTGTTGCTCATTTCGAAACGTTTTTTTTTTCGTCCACTTATAAGCCCATCCCGATATAAGTCCTCTCGTTTATAAGCCCACCCAAAACCCCTTATGAACTTGTATAAGGCCAGGGCTTATAAGCGGCAGTTTACAGTATATATATATAATATAAAATATACAACAAAACGAGCAAGGTTTGCAACATTCACTATACACGTATGCATTTTAGACAATTTATGCTTACATCAACATATAAATGAAACACAATCAAACTGTACAGCTGTATAAATTTTGGACACAGAAATGTTACATTCCCAAGACAAATTAATGTTGATTAAAACACACCAGTTAATGCAAGGTTTGCATTTAGAATTGCAAATATTTTATTTTCTCTTAAGTGAAATAAACCTGTGGAGGGCTGTCTGCTCGAGCGAGATGTCACAACTCTTACAAAAAAGTAGTGATTTATATTTAATCAAAAAATTAATTGTAAGGCTTGCCATGATTAATCATAGAAGTGCCAGCCCATATGGATCAAATTTTGTTACCACTCTTGACTTATTTGTCAGTCACTGAAAAAACTGGCCATTGTCAAGAGGTTATTTTGGTAGTTGGGGACACAGTTTAGTGGCCATTGCCATTGTAGAGTTATTTCAACAAGAGTCAATGCATGGACTGTCCGCCGCAAAAAAAGTGGCTGTAGTAGAGAGGTGGCCCTATAGTGGAGGTTCAACTGTAGTTCCCCAAACAGTAAATTGCTAACACAGCAAAATCTGATTTTTCCTCAAACATTCAGTTTCTCCAAACTCCTCATAAATTGAAGCCATGACTCAAACTATGTTATTATAACATAATTTGGTTTTATCACCTAGCCAAAGTAAGGAGATAGAGAGGTTGTTGTTTCAAGCCCTAGTCCCTTATCAGGACTGATCATTGATGTTTTTGAAGCATGCCCTTTGTTGGAGTGAATCAGGGGATAGTGGGTTGTTTGTGGTTTATTTACTGAACATAGAAGCTATTTATTGGTGGGAACATGGTAACAGAAAAAAACACAGGCACGTTAAGCATGCATGAACTATTTTGAATGCTTTAGTGTAACTTTAATGCATCGGTGTAATCTTACTAAGAGTGATGAATCTACCTTTTTCGTCTTAATTTAATGTAGACTGGGTTTTGGTGCGAAATTGGGTATTGCCGCACATAAATCAAAATGCGAAATGCTCAGCTGCATCCATCCTCATGCTATATATTCCCTTTCCTCTGTCTTTCCCTGTTACATCACAGGAAAAAATAACAGATTTGCAATATTGGATATTTTAGGGTATTTAAAAGAAGAAGAAGAAGAACCTTTATTAATTTATACTGCTCAGGGTAGCCCCTTCAGACGCAAAAAGCTGTCTGTTATCAATGGGAGCCCAGAGCAACAACGCACAAAAACCACACTGAACATATAAACATTACACTAATACAGGTAATAATATAAATAGAAAACTATTTTCAATTAAAAGATTAAAAGATGTAAAACACGGAATATCAATAAGATAATTCGTTAAAAAGAGTGCAACCATAATAATAGAAGGATCTTTTTGCAATTTCAGTTCTCACAGCAGGCGGATGTAAGAGGTTGCTTTGTCTAGTAGCGCGCGCATGGATTGTATTATTACTTTAAAATATTGTTTACAATACTGGGGACATTGACCTTGCAGGCATTTCTTAACGAGTTTAAAAACAGATTGACGTCGGCGCTCCTCCAAGGTGGGCCATTTCAGAACGTCCAATGCCTGCTTGCTGCGCACAGTACAAGCCACTATCCTAGCAGTCCGGTTTTGGAGGGCTTCAAGGTCTTGTTTACGACCTTCCCCGCAACAGCCCCACACACTTACACAGTATTCTAAAATTGACCTAATTAGACTACAATGCACTACATTTGCACTCTCTCTAGTGAGGCTTCTGTGAAGCCTGCCGAGCATTCCTACGCATTTTCCCGCCTTCGAAATTAGGTACTTTATTTGCTCCTTCCAGCTAAGGCGGTCATCAAAAACTATACCTAGATAAGTGAAGTGAAAAACTCGCTTAATTACATTGTTATTTAAAGTAATAGAAAAAGAGTTAACAGCAGATAATCTAGGGGCGGTTCTGAAAAGCATAGCTTCGGTTTTTGTTACATTAACAAACAGACTATGAAAAGAAAGCCAGTGATCAATCTTAGACAGTTCTGCATTCAGCTTGTCTTGAATGACAGAGGCTTGGGAGGATGAACAGTATAAAACAGTGTCATCAGCGTACATCAGAATATTGCAATCGGACACTACTTCAGGTAAATCATTAATGTGTAGAATAAACAATAATGGTCCGAGGATAGAGCCCTGAGGCACACCAGTAGAGACGGCTTCCGAAGCAGAAGTCACCCCTTGAAACTCCACAACTTGGGTGCGGTTCGACAGGTAATCCGTAAACCAGCCATGCTCTTTATCCAAAATCCCCAAATTGGAAAGCTTGTCCAGAAGTACCGCATGATCCACAGTGTCGAAAGCTTTGCGAAGGTCAATAAACACAGCACCAGTTAATTGACCTTGGTCCATGTTCCTACGAATATTATCAGAAAAACTAAGAGCAGCGAATTCTGTCGAGTGACACTTCCGAAACCCGCAGTGATAAGGACTCAAGATCTTGTTTTGCTGGAGATATTTGTAGAGTTGGATATGTACAGCCCGTTCTAAAACCTTAGATAGAACAGGTAAAATGGAAATCGGGCGATAATTGTCCATCTCATCAGCCTTTTCCTTTTTAAAGAGTGGAATGACCCGTGCGGATTTCCAATCACTGGGAACTTGGGCAGTACGTAACGAGGTGTTGATAATAAACGCCACAGGCTTAGCTACAATACCCACAAAAACCCCAAATTTGGCAAAGAGAGACAAGTCCCAACCAGGGAATTCCCAACCAAGTTCCCTGGTTGGGACTTGTCTCACTCTTCCAAATTTGGGAGTTTTGTGGGTATTCTTTAAATACCCTAAAATATCCAAAAATGGGAATCTGATATTTTTAATTGTTAAAGTAAAATAAATATCTACTCACTAAATGACTTTATTAGAGCTTCTTAAGCCAAAATGTGACTCATCGAATTCGAGTAGTTAAGAAATACCAGGATTTTTATCATTGTGGTAGATGGTTGTATCATCACAATTCATGAGGTTTTCAGGTGCGATTGTACTTAGTGAAACAATCTTAACTCCGGCAACTTATTTCTTCATGTTTTAAAAGCTATTGCTTCTCAAAAGACAATAGCCTTTTCTAAGGCATTGGTTACAAAATGAAACAGGTTTTCATATGTTCAAGTCACTATTATTATTGTGAAAAGACAATCTGCATGAGATGTACAGTCACACAACTGGCACGTGAAAGTGTTGTACTTTGCCCTCTTTTGTTGTTTGTATGTGAGGGAATTCGAGTTATCACACAGCAATCTGGGAAACAGAATCATAAAAATGACTCATGCACACAATTTGCACATGAAGATGTTGGTCTTTGGCCCTCTTACAATTCCTACGTAAAAAAAAACGCAAATTGTTTACTACAAAATTATCTTAAACGATTTTAAGAAATCACCTCGGCTTCATTACATCTGCAATAAATATTAAATTATGTTTCATGCAACATCAAGGTTAATAGCCTAACATTTATGAACTTTCAAGAAAAGTATCAAACTGCTGAAATATATTTCTGCTCATATCATGTTACTCCACTGGGTAAAACCCTATCTAATTATTGTGTCAACTAGCTTCTTCCAATTTTATTCCCTAACGCTACTGTTTCTACTTAAGTTACGCATCTTTACTAAATAAAATACATTTCAGTAACTATAATAACAAGTATGCAGGAAGGATGTATCATGTTGTTCACTTATTATTCTTTTTTGTTTGTTTGTTTTGCTAGAATGAAAAAGGTCTGTTGAACTTTGTAAGAGAGAGAATAATATTTTTAAAGCTTGTTTACAGGATTAACAATACTCGGTACAGCTTTCAAAAAAATAAGCCGCCTTTTAAACTTCTAAAACCACATTTCACAGGGCGCATACTTTCGAATTAAAGTCTATATCTAAATATCAATTATTGCTTCATTGGAAGAGCTTTGAAAATATATGATCTTTTATACTCTACCTAGTTAGAGCAGGTGAAACAGAACTTATACTGACATGCGTTGTACCGATAGCCAAATTAGGTCAGAAATGCCTTGAAGCAGCATCCACACCAAAATACGAACCCTTAAACAGCTGCATCACTGTACACAGCATTTGAATCATGAAGATATTTAATGTAATTCTTCCAAACACCTGTAGCTGTAATAAAAGACGAAAAATTGTGAAGAATCAAGATGGCAGTCTCAAAGTGCCCTTGT